CAGCAGCAGCAGCAGCAGCCTAACATGTATGCAGGAATGATGGGGATGCCCCAGCAGGGAAACATGGCGATGGCAGGCATGCCCCAGGGCAATATGGCCATGTATGGTCAACAACCACAACAGATGCAGCAGCAACAGATGCAGTTCCAGCAGGTAGCCAACTCGACTTGTCCTTTACTTACCATGACTGAACAATTCAGTCCTGTTCTCAATGGGATTTTCAAGTTCTTTTTCGTACATTTACTGATTTTCATGTCCCCTCAAAACACATCAAAATTATTATGGGAATTAATTTGTCCGTCATCGGGTGTTACAGTCTGTGTTATGTTCAGATTTGTTTTCAGACAATATCTTCTGAAGGGATTATAGGATTTTGATGAAACTTGTCTGGTAGATGGACTTCCCAATGCCCAAACTCAAGGGTGATGCTCAGCCATATACTCAAACCTTTAATCAGGTTGCTGCAATCTGACTTGCTAGTTGTTTCTGTGAACTTTTGAAAGTATTATTGGAAACATGCCCAGTATACATTCGACCCAAGTTGAGGGCAAATTCATCAATGTTTGAAACAGTGCTAAAATAGAAAATGATATACAATTGTAACAGAAAACTTATTGCATTTTATTCCTTCATCTTGGGTAAACTCCTTACACCTGCCAGGTAAGCTTGGGGTAGGTGACATCTTCCATGGAATTCTTGTCTATAAAGAGGCAAAACAACAAAGCTGCATACAAGATTTCGGCTCAATTTAAGAAAGAATAGAAGAAAAAAATGTTTTCTTTGATATAACATCAACCTTTGTCAGTTCAAGGAAAAAGGCAGTTACCAAAATACAGATAACAATTCTCGTTCTAAGCACTTACCCATACACGTTACTAATAAAGTTGTTTACACTCTCTATCATAAGTTGAGTATTAGTCAGCTCCATTTCTTCTATATTCAAGACGCTTCTTTAATATGACGTACTTCAATTAATCAGTCTAAAATTATGACCGGAGTGTTTTGCTCAGCTGCTTGTGGAACTAAATTTGTTGATTTGACATTTCCAGATGCAGCAGCAGATGTCAGCCATGCGTGTGGGTGGCGGAAACATGATGGGACAGCCAATGCCGAGTACAGGGGGGTTAAATTGGGGGGCCCAGAACAGCAGTGGACACACACTATCTACCAATCTTTGGCAATGATAGTTGCTGTTTTAGATCATTTACATTATTTGTTGTCATGTGCATGGAATTCCTGTGGATTGTCCGTCACATTGCTGAGAGGTGTCAGCAAGATCGGGAGTCAAAATTGTTCACGCGTTAGCCATGCTTATGTTTGGGAGGAAGCTGTCAAGGGAAGAGCAGGACAAAGAAAGAACATTCCAGTTATAGACTGTGTTTTAATCACTCAATGTAATGTTAATGGTAAGATGCCTGCTAATTTGTAAGGTGATGTCTGTTTTAGCTAGCGTACATGCAGGGAAGTCATTCTGTGACGTAATTGTGGAGTATAAACTAGAAGTGCTACAGGGTGTTTATGTAATACGTTCAGATGATATTAGACAATTCGGCACATGTAAAGTATTACAATATTACCTCCGTAAATCAACGTTGTCTCCGTGTAGCGTTCATTGTGTCCTGTTAGGAAATGTAATTACTTCGTATGCAATTCAGAATGTCTTCATTTATTTAGGCTTGCTCAAGATTTCCGTTATTTATAAGCAGTGTCTTGAATGTATCATCCAATGGAGAGACGTCTTGGGTTTATTGATTAATACCAACATCGCTACACACCTGCGTTATCAATGTAGTGCTTTAACTTCTGTCTCCATCATTTCATATGACATTTCATAGAAGGGTGTCGCGCGATTAACAAATTGTAAAATACTGATTATAATGAGATGTTGTTGAACTATTCACATCAACAACTTGCCTGCTTTCCTTTCGCTATGTAGACATTTTGGTTGAGGAATTTCTGTACAATGAACAACGGCTTTCATGAGTTGCGATACTCCAATGAAAACATCAGGACTTAACTTGTACAAGATTGCAGTTTCTCCTGCTGGACAGGTGTTTGTAGGGCAGCCAGTGTGATAGAGCTAAAGCTACAGCTTATGACAATAAGGATATAGAGCATGTAATTCATTAATAAAACTGTGATTTATTTTTTAATATATATCTATTGTCATGTCAGAATTTGTTTTTTTTAAACAGTTCATGATTGTTTTGTCATGCATATTCGGTCAAGTGGCGCCTTTCCATTTTTTCTTGTTTCGACTTTTAATAAAGATGAATGATCAGTTATTCACAGAATTTTGTACAGTAACATATCTGTTGCCTACTTCATCTAAATGTGATTCACTTAAAAATCAGTTGGGTTTTTTTGCTTTAAAAAATGATAATTGGCAAACATTGAAATGCTGAACAATCACCAAGCTAAAACTATTCATGAATTACGATGTATGTGCTGTCTAAGATGACAACTCTCATAAATGCAGACTTTCTATACACTTAGTGGTGACCGGATCAATTTGGGCCTGAATGTTTTTCTTAATGATTTTTTCTCGATCATTGTCTTTTATCTTTTTCACCCCTTTTGTTTTTGATTCAACACACTGGTAGTTGAGTGAAATACTACCCAGTAATATACTGATGTTAATTGACGACAGACCGTTATGAAAAAAGTCAATAAAACGTCAGAATAATTCGGACTACTTCCAACAGTGCTGTGCGACAGGTTTCAAAAGTACTGGTTTATCATGAAAGGGTGAAATGTTGCATAAGTTTGTTCAATATAATGGGGGTAGCATTCAGAAAAAAAAATTAGAACCTTAATTTTGATAATGGAAATTTAAAATATGTTTGTGAATGTTTCACTACATATAAGCTACTGAGTTCAGTCCTGTTGTTATTTCCTATAGGTGTAATCCGTTTTGTTTGGTCTTGTGTGTAGTCTGATTTGTTTTATCTTGTGTGTAGTCTGATGTTTGGTTTCATTTTTAATAGACTTCATTCAGTCACAGTTTGCTTGGGTTGGGTCTGACAGTATAAATATCTATATGTATCATTGAAGTAATGTCATGCATAAGTGATGACTTATATGGTTTTAAGTACGGTAGATCGTGTCTGTCTTCGAAGACTTCTTAATGTAATAAGCTGTTTTTTGACATGTGTAAGTCCCAATTTACGGGTGGTAGTGACATTTTGTGTAATCCTATGACCATAATCATAGAGTTTATGTCCAGCCCCTGTGCTCAGTATGAACAAGTACATGTAATATGTTTTACAGTGTATGTTCAGCTGCCACGCTGATGTTGACAGTGTGGTGATCATGGTGACAATACTGTGTGGTATGTACTTGGGACTGTAGTTAGAAAATTTCGTTAAACTGATGTCCATGTCATTAAAAACACAGGTACCCACATCATCATCAGGTGTCTGAACACATGATCTTTTATTATCTGGGCATCTTTTCAGGAAAATGTCTTGTCAAGTGTATCAATGATGTGTATCCTTATTCAGAGGCGTTTTAGTCATACTGTTATGTAATTGGGGGGATATTATGATTGGCAGGATATTTTCAAGGGGAGTTTAAAAAAAACAGGTATTTTATAAGATGTTTATAAATTTGCCAAATGTGTTTTATATCTAGTAATTAAAAGCTACTCACAATTAAATGTGAGTTAAAATGCTTAATTTAATTAAAAAATAATTAAGTTAACATATGATTTACATCTGTTTAATGATTTGTATGAACTACAACGATTTAAAGTTGAAAACATGTTGCCAGTCCTTTCTATCATTATTTTAGCAAAGCACCTTACTCATATAATTTTATACATTTTGCCATCTGCCAGTAGTCTGGTGAAAGCTATAGTCAGAATAATTTTATTATCTCACCTGGCCAAAAAAGCTAAATTACGAGCTGATGCCATGATACCGGCCAGTGTCCATGTTCTGTCGCACGTCCATTGTTAACCGTTCCTTTACAAGCCTATACTAGTCCAGAACAGCTGAATGTATTTTGACTTATTTGACATCGAACATCTCTAGACAAAGGGACATTGGTGTTGTGTAAAGGAATTGGGTGGTGTCTCTAGGGGCGGAGAGGTACGAGGGGTCCATTAGGGGAAATGGGAGTAAATCTTTACAAACTAAATAGTACAGGTAAAGGAATTCTAATCTGATTTAACAAGGAGCATCCCCGGGCCAAAGGATGCACTTCAGGAGGGTAGATTTGAAGAAAAAAAACCGCACAAATTATATTGAAGATTGCAACATGGTTAAATCTTTTAGGAGAGAAATGCAAATGAAATATTTGAAGCTTATTTATAAAGATTGTAAATAGTACCTCATCATTATGGTCTGGTGTGAGCAAAATAACAATCATTATAGACTCTATATAAGCTGTTATAGCAACATGGTGTATTCCTCCATCATGGGAACACTCAGTAATATGTGAGTGAGGCAAATGTCAAATAAGAATGAGTTTGGAAGGACAGGAGTGATTGTTTATGGATGTGCTTGTCGTGGTATATTTGACTATTTTATATTTGTTTTTTTAAACTTGGGAACTAAATCATGAGGTCAACACTTGTAGTTATTGCGAACAAATGTATGCGTTTTACAGTATTTGGTATACAAGTACAATGATTTCAGTGATTTTTAACTTTAATTTTTTTCACATATGATGAAGCATTATATTCAAATACCTTAACAAATAAGGTTGCAATTTCACATGTAAAGTTAATAAGGGCAATGTTTCATCTTTTGGACAACACCATCAATTATTTCAAAGTATATTCTGTATCACCGGTAATATTTTGTGATTATATAAAAATGTCAGACTGTTTTTGTAAGACTGTTTTTGTATAGCCTAATGTGATATTAGATTTTGGTTGGAATTCCAGCATTAGTTAGGAACAAAACCCATGTTTTATGTACCTCCAATAAGTTTGTTGAATGAATCAAAGTGCTTAAATTATTTAACTGAATCAAAGCTCCTATGCTTAAAACATTTTTTGAATTATTCAAATGGTAATCAAGCATAGGGTTTTGTGCAATACCCTTTTAAAGCAATTCTGTTTTTATGTTGATTTATTTATTAGACATGTTACCAGCACAGATTTGTAAAGAATGAAACACTGTAAAAATCCACTACTGCCATTGTGTTTTCACTGTAAATATCATTTTAGCCATGTATGTAAAAACCCTGACGTTATGTTGTAATTCATGTATAAACATAAACACCAAAAACAACCAACAGTCTTGTATTTGTTACTTCACTGTCCCAGCTACACATGGATATGGCACGCTTTGGAGTCAGCATCTGGGGCCTGTTCGTTTATGCGAAACAACCGGTTTGACCGTTTATAAATGTGACAATTTCGGGTATAAATGGCGGACCTGCAAATGTTTATGCAGGTCTTGTCCAGGCTCGCCTGAAAGCAGCATCAGATTACTAGGTCCGACCATATTTAATAAACGAACAACAGAGGTCTGATCGGTTTGACCGTTTAAACGAAAACGGCCTAGGTGTTCACATTTTCCCCAGCAATGTAACACAGTATGGCTCAATTTGTTACAAGACTTAATATGGTCTGTTTATACCTGGCATATTTGTTTCAGGAACGGAATTTCAAAAGCTTGACCCCATGTCACTATTTAGTATTGCCATCTAAAAATTATTGAGAAAAAGTTTTTTTTATCTAATTTGAGTTTATCATGAACGAGAAAAGATCATTCAGATCTGTTCAAATCGTAAGTGCACGGTTGGCCAATTTAAGTGGCAAACTGATGAAACGGCTTTTGAAGTTCCGAAAATTCAAACCTTAATAAATAATAAAAAATATTTACCAATTAACCTAGCTTACAGCGTTACAACTACACATCATGTCAACTTACCAAGTTCTGAGGGCATTCATATAGGCAATGAATGCCAAGGTTCAATTGTTGATGTTATAACTAATTATGACATCATAACTGCATTGTTGGATACCACAGACGTTTCTTGGAAGATGGCAGTTATGCTCTTTCAGCAAGCATACATGATACGTTTACAGGGTCAGTTGATTAAATTTTCCATGAGATTGAAATGTTAAAAAAAAATCCAATAGTGTAAATTCAACTTTTGACGTCAAAATTAGAGAAGAAATTTTACTTCATTCTTTTAGCAGAGACTATACCTGGTATTAGGTAGATGCTAGTGTACTCAAAATGTACAAACACTGATCATGAATAGAGTTTTGTTTGTCCTAAGTTTAGTAGGAGAGACTCTTAGCTTCAATTTCACATACATTGATTTTTTTGTAAACTCTACTTTGTTATTGTAGGAAAGTACAAATTAAATGAGTATTTTTATCCGGTATCAACTAAATAGTAAAGTGTCTCCCTTCCCTAAGAGAGAATAAATGAATTGGGGGTAATATGAAAGTTAGGATTTATTTAAAGCATCTGAAGACCTTTACATCCATGAAGTGTACCATTTCCTTTTAAGGACATGGGAACTGAGAATAATTTTCGAAGTTTATGCAGTTTTCTCCAAATTGGACCCTGTGGCAGTGAGGAGTTCCTCAGGCCCCCGATTCAGAGACGTATAAACGTATATGTGTTATATACGTCTCTGCCCGATTGGGTTGCAGGATCAGGGCCTTAATTAGTTTTAATACCATCAACGTTAACTTCCATCCTATCAAATAAATTTATTCAACAAAGTGAAATTTACTTCCTACATAAAATGATCAGCAGAAACTAAAAAGTGTTATTTTCCTATGAACTTTCAGCTAATCCCCCTCCACTAAAGGGGGAATGAATGACCCAGGGGTAGTAAAATTTACAATTTAGATAAAACATTTAAGGACCAGTTTATTCCTATCAAGATTACATGATTCGTGGACATAATGGTCTGAACAGATACGTTGGACAAGAATACTCACACGGAATCCGTTAAGGCTTTCATTTTAGAATGCCTTTTAAGAGTTGCCTCCCTTCAACATCCGCTGCAGGGAAGGATTGACAGGATTTATTCTTCTTCTTAGCTGTACAATGCAAGGGCTCCATCAATGGTGATGTTTATGCCCTTGGGACCATGTACGGTGTACTGCATGTGTGAAGTCATTGAAAATTAAGTAGATCATGCAGACAGTTAACTTAATCATCACGAAAGTGAATATTACATAAGAACTCGTTCGTGTCCTGTCTCTAGAAAACAGTACAAGTACACTGTCGGCTCACAGTCGCAATGAAGTCACTCTTTCGAATGACATCCACATTTGTTGGGGAAAATATGGATTTGTTTCCAACGGAGGCCGTAGCAGGTGGGTATCCAAATTCATATCACAGGAGTCTATCCTTTTGGCCAATATCTTCTTCATCTTCTTACTCCAACAATGTTAGAGGTTTAAGACGGCGAGATACTATTTACAGATAGAAAAAAAGGCCGACCAGCGACCTCTTATGTTATAGGAGTACTTATTTCTATGAGAGATGAATCTCCAATATTGGAGCCATTATTGTCTCTGGGCTTGGGTGGAAAAAAGAAACCTTATAGTTATAATTGAATGAAATAAGCAAAAGTATAAATTATATAATGGGGGGGGGGNCGACATGGGTGTGATACATAAATGTAAAGTAGTGCAACACGATCACACAATTCCATACAGGACATGTTAGACTTCAACTGCCGGCCAACTCCTCGGGGGTGGCAGGTGTGCATACATAATGTACATAGACCAGCCTATGTTAGTGGGACAGATCAGAGACGTATATATAACGTCTCTTGAAAGATGCAGAGAAGATCTGTTTGACGGTGTACTGTATGTGTGTTAAGCCGTGAGAAACTAGGGGGGAGGGGTGGTAATTGTTCAATGTGAAGAGTATAGGCCAGCCTTGAATGATTCAAGGCTGTCTGCATCAGCAAGAAAGGAGGGTAAGCTGTTCCAGTCCGTTATATATGGTCCTTGGCATGTAAGAGAACTTGAAAAAGTATTAAGATGCCTGAATTGGACAATAACGTTGATTCCCCCAAGTCCTGGTGTTTGCCTTGGTTTAGTACTGGTCGGCTGGAATAGCTATGAGATCGTGAGTGATCTTATAGAAGTTGACCAGCCTGGCCTATGCCTCCGACGACTCTGCAGGGGTCCGACTTGAGGGAGTCAACAATTGCCGAGACATAACCTGGAGTTCTCGAGTGAAAGTCATTATAGACTATCTGGTCGCTCTTCTCTGGAAAGCCTCGAGTTGATAATATCATTTATAACAATCTGTTTATAAAAAAACTTATATAATATAAAAACATAGTATAAGCCATAAGGGGTATTTTTAATTTACAGATTGTTGTAATTATATGTTGACAACATGTCAGACTTCTGTGTTCATATCATTCTGAAATGTGAATTTCTGATGAATTTTGGAGAAAGATGTGTTGACCCCAAAATTTTAAGTCTAATGGTTCACAGACCGGATATAAAGCATTCTGACTAAAGTATGCAACCAGTTGTTGACCCATAAAAGATGAAGGAAAGTGGTAACATAATTATAAAATAAGAATTCAAGGTTCTTATATATATACCGCTTTATCACAACCTAGTTCCTAGATTGTCTGAAAGCGGTTCATAAACTATTAGTCGTGGTTATAGGGCCTAAATGACACCAGCCAATAACCTTCTGAACTCCCTGGGGAGCATAAAGCCATGCTCAGTGCTTCCATTTCGGCGCTCACAGCTAGCATTCAATAATTCTAGCCCTGACCAACAACATACTCCTTTACAGCTGAGTAGACTGGAACAAGCGGAGTAAAGTATTTTGCTCAAAGATGCAACACAGTGACGTGACTTGAACTCACAACCCTTCGGTCACAATCCCGGCGTCCTACCACTAGACTACCGTGCCTCCTATAACTTGAATGGAAAATGTAAAAAGTGTCGGATTATCCTAGGCTTGTTTGTCTACCACAAGTAGCTATCTCTCTTTTGTCTCTTTTAGCCATTTCTAATGTTTGATATATCAGTTTAGCTCCATAAAGATGAGCTCTATTGCAAATTAGGGCCAGCATGTACAGGAATCAATGAAATGTACAGGTCTTGGTATCCTCATTTAATATCATAAGATTCCTTTGAAGGGAAAAGTGCTATTTGCCTTCTTGTATGCTTGATTAATAAGATGTTTTCATGATAAATCACTCAAATCAGTTGAGAAGTCCATCCCAAAGGATACGTGCTGGTATATATTGGTATCTTGAAGTAAGTGACCTTTCACATAATACAATTAGATATACTGACCATGGGGTTAGGGATCTGTGCCTTGCCCCTGTGTTCTACATTTCTTGTACCTTACCCGCTGGGTCTGTCCTTCCAGAAATCTTTTTATCCAGGAATGTGTTGCATCTCATATGATATACATGTACATATGCATGTATGGGCAGGCACTGGTGAGGCATGTACATGTGCGCTCAGATCTATCAGTCCAATTCTGTACCTGAATTCATGTTGGCAGTCATTCAGGATGCAGTGGTTCATGCTATTAGACACAATTGTTCCTGAATCTTGTAGCATACACGAATTGGACAATGATTACCTACCTATACATCTCTCTTGAAGATTTGACAAATAGTTGTCTTAGGTTTTTTTGCTCATATTCTTTACATAACATGGTTGTTAGTATGTATATGAGAACTCGGCTGAACTGTCTGTTTTGTAAAAATATAATCAATTCAAGTTGATGTAATTTAATTTGCAGATTTGCCAGGACCAGTTTTGGAGAGTATCCTCCCTTACATGAGTGCTTACTGGCTTCACTCCATCCACCAAAGTCTTTCATATGCAGGTAAGCTTCTCTAGGACTTGTTCTAGAGAGTAATCCCCCTTACACAGGTAAAGTTCTCCAGGACCTGTTCTAGAGAGTAATCCCCCTTACNCACAGGTAAGCTTCTCTAGGACCTGTTTTAGAGAGTAATCCCCCTTACACAGGTAAGCTTCTCTAGGACCTGTTCTAGAGAGTAATCCCCCTTACACAGGTAAGCTTCTCTAGGACCTGTTTTAGAGAGTAATCCCCCTTACACAGGTAAGCTTCTCTAGGACTTGTTCTAGAGAGTAATCCCCCTTACACAGGTAAAGTTCTCCAGGACCTGTTCTAGAGAGTAATCCCCCTTACACAGGTAAGGTTCTCCAGGACCTGTTCTAGAGAGTAATCCCCCTTACACAGGTAAGCTTCTCTAGGACTTGTTCTAGAGAGTAATCCCCCTTACACAGGTAAAGTTCTCCAGGACCTGTTCTAGAGAGTAATCCCCCTTACACAGGTAAGGTTCTCCAGGACCTGTTCTAGAGAGTAATCCCCCTTACACAGGTAAGCTTCTCTAGGACTTGTTCTAGAGAGTAATCCCCCTTACACAGGTAAAGTTCTCCAGGACCTGTTCTAGAGAGTAATCCCCCTTACACAGGTAAGGTTCTCCAGGACCTGTTCTAGAGAGTAATCCCCCTTACACAGGTAAGCTTCTCTAGGACTTGTTCTAGAGAGTAATCCCCCTTACACAGGTAAGGTTCTCCAGGACCTGTTCTAGAGAGTAATCTCTCTTACACAGGTAAGGTTCTCTAGGACCTTTTCTAGAGAGTAATCTCCCTTACATAGGTAAAGTTCTCCAGGATCTGTTCTAGAGAGTAATCTCCCTTACACAGGTAAGGTTCTCCAGGACCTGTTCTAGAGAGTAATCTCCCTTACACAGGTAAGGTTCTCTAGGACCTGTTCTAGAGAGTAATCTCCCTTACACAGGTAAGGTTCTCCAGGACCTGTTCTAGAGAGTAATCTCCCTTACACAGGTAAGGTTCTCCAGGACCTGTTCTAGAGAGTAATCTCCCTTACACAGGTAAAGTTCTCCAGGACCTGTTCTAGACAGTGATCTCCCTTACACAGGTAAGGTTCTCCAGGATCTGTTCTAGGGGATAATCTCCAACACACAGGTAAGGTTCTCCAGGACCTGTTCTAGAGAGTAATCCCCTTTACACAGCTAAGCTTTCCCAGGACCTGTTCTAGAGAGTAACCCTCCACACACGAGTGTCATAAGGGCCATTTCTAGAGAGTTATCTAGTTTACACAGGTAGGGTTCTCTAGGACCAGTTCTATTTCACCTGGACCAGTCCTAAGGAGAAAAATAGTACACTCCCTCCATCACAGGAAGATTTTGCAAATTTGCATAAGAACTCAATGACTTTATGATTTATATCATGCACTTATATCATTTCTTATACAGGAAGATAAGCTACTCCAGACATGTATCATTAGTTAAAAAATCTATTAGTAGAGATAGAGTTGCTACTTATTAGATAAGTAAACATGACGTAATGCTAAACCAGCATTTACAGCTGTTTCTCAGTATAAACCATAGATGGAATACCTGGGCTTGGACACAGATCTGGAGTCAGACGAGAAGATAAATAGTAAGAATGAACTTGTATTTGTCATTTTTGTTTATATTGTTTTGACAGGTGTGAAATGTGATTGGTTGTGGACCATGCACATCCGGCGACGGTGGGGCCTTGGAGTACAGTCCATGATGAATGTGTTCCAGGAGACGATTGACAAGGATCCACGGAAAGTCTACCTGATGAAACATTTCCATGATCTACTCAACTTCTGTACCCTCAGTGTCAACACAAGAGGTTTGTGGACTTGTCATTTTCTCAATAACTTGACGAGGAGGTGAAATAATTTTAATTTTCTATCACAAATTAGTGAGTGGCTGTTTCAGATAGTACAGTTAATGGTGAAGTAACGTGTGGGTAGTCACCGATCCAACTACTGACCACACTCGACTTTGCTGAACTAGTGAGCGGGTTCCAGGGTTATACTGTATCACTTGAAAAGCTAGCTTGCCTAGTAAGGCAGCATTTCCCCCTAATATCCCTCAGCTGTTACCCTGGTATGTACGGTACTGGCAGAATTGTTTTTTGTAATACATGTACTATCATTCTGTTTGTAAGTAAGTGTTTGAAAACTACCAGAGGGCTATAAATGCTAAATTTGTTTTGAACACTAACAGAAATTGAAAATTCTTTTGCAAGTTTGAAAACATCAGTTCAGCAAAGAGTGTAAAAGACCAATGTCTTGACTCTAAACCACTAAAAACAACTCGCTAAGCCACAGTGTGCTAAATCAGTAAAATCAGCTGTCAGAAATCATAGAGACATTTCACCAAATAGCAGATCTAATACTGCAGGGTGAGGCAGTCAGAGGGGCGGTAACATGTTTGCCTATCCCGCCCTATATTGGACTGGACTAGGATTACCATGTATTGAAGTTAACTGAAAATATAGTCGGCTAAGGGTCCTGGGAGTGTAAATCATTGGGTAACATGTTCCAGTTATTATTGGAAATTATTGGTGTTGGTATCAAATATACTTTTTACATGTTCAAGGTTTTTGAATTTTACTATCTTATTGGAAGCAAACTTTGTAAAAAAAATAGATATTTATATGTAACAGAAGAAAGAGAGAATATAACGGCCAGACTGGGGCTTGAACCCGGGACCCTCCGAACTCTGGACAGACGCTCTACCAATTGAGCTACCTGGTTGCTGACTATCGACCCAGTCCTGTTCCGCTGCATAGATACGTTTTACTAGGTAATTTATAAGAATTTTGATTTGAGAAATCCTTTATTGTAGATCCGCACAGCTTATTCCACTGCCCAATCCACAGACTAGTCCGCAGGGAGACGTTGGATCCTCGGCCAGCATTACCCGTTCCCCGCGCGTCATCATCGTCATCTTCTCAAATTTCTTTTTTCATCTCAAATCATCATGATGGAGGGACAGTAGGACCTATGTCTTTCCACTTGGACCAGCTGCTGAATTTTTCTGCTTATGCACAGACGCTGCGTGTTCTTGGTTCTCAGTGTGGTTGGATTGCTAGTTGTACTCCACTTCTTGAGAAACTGCTCCAAGTCACAGAAAGGCTCCAGCTCGTTACGCTCACAGACACATACTACACTGGCATACGTGCCTTGGTGGTATCTCTAATGAAACGGGGAACATTAACCAAGGTGGTGTTGTCTACGGTCAAGTTGTCGGAGCCCTGTTTGTTAGACCTGATGTTCGTGTGCTCAGGGAGACTCCATCATACTGCTGCTAATTTATCATGTAAAAAAAACCTTATTTGTCAGAATTGTGCTAAAAACATTCCTAATGACAGAAAGAATACCCAGTCTTCCGTGGCAAACCAGAATGAGGACAGTGTTAAATTAAATGACGATTCAGCAGTATTAGATGAATCTGAAGCGTCACAAAGAACAGATGGTGGTTCGCAGCCTGTGGCGTCCACTAGTTCAGGCATTTTCTCTAGTCAGCTTGAGGATAGGACGATGTGTTCGAGGTCCATTGAACCCCTGCTGTGGGAAGTAGGATTTGACAGTGATGGCAGTGAGTCCTCAAATTTTGACATTCCAGATGGTCCTGAAAGTTTGCTGGAGCCACAGATACTAGACCTTTATGATGAGGCAATCACGCCTCTCCCTAGACCAGCAGATACCCTGGAAAACCTTGTTCTCACTAATGCGACAACCATCAAACCTGGTGATGGTAGTACGCATATTCCTCTGCCAGCCTCGCGATGTGTTCAGTGTAATTCGTGTATGAATAGGGCAGATTCTGTCCCAGGAACAGATGAAGCATTAACCAGTACTGCAGCAATGCAGGGTAAATTAGGTGCCGAAGAAATTGTGATGAAAAACGACAGAACAAATTCTACAGACAACCAGACAAAGCCCAGTTGTCATGGTAACCAAATGCTAAAACCTGACTGTGATGATGACATGAAGCATACAAATGAGCTGTCTACGGCTGACATAGTAACCGGACTGGAGTCGTTTGCGCTCTTGAGTACCGCCAACAGGTACGACATCAGTTCAATTCTAGTTCGAGTCTTGCCAGGCTGGACATCTTTAAAGAAGTTTGGGGTCTTTGATGTTGGTAAGTCTTTGCATTGTTGCTTTCCTGAAAACATAACTATTGCAGCAGTTATATGCGAGCATGAAACAGAAATGTTCATCTACAGATTTGTTAAAATGTTTTAACTTATACTCCATCATGTTACATAGATCATAGGTGACACCTCTGAAACCACCAATGAGGGAGATCTCCCTCATTCCACATTTCCAATGAGGGAGATCTCCCTCATTCCACATTTCCAATGAGGGAGAAAGTGTGAGAAACGTGACTAAAACTATTTCGCTCAATTTATCTTTCCCATTCTAATGTATCAGAATAACTCAAAAAAACAATAATTTGAGTCCGACACACCTGTTATGATCATAACACACACCGAGCAGTAACTATATAGCTAGGAAGGAGATGATCATTTGACCACAGGATGTAGATTTTGATTTTTGTTAGTTTGGACTTGAATGAGGGAGTTTTAAAGGAGATTGGTAAATTTTGGTCCAAATGAGGGAGTCTCCTTCCTAATGAGGGAGGTTTGACAGCTATGATAGATGTAACAGTAACAGTAACAATCTACCTGATACATAATGCAAATTACTCAGAGCTGTTGAATTTAATAATGGAGATTTAGTTGTGTTCTCTGTACTTGTTCCGACACGTGCGAGATATGAATAAATTCAAATTATCATTCGTAAAAAATATTTTCCTGGTTTGTTAGTGTGAGATACAAGTAAGTCACCATAAAGTTGGTGAGGATTTGTCTGTACATCGGTACCTCCTACACTGTGTTGTAGACATGAAGTCTGTGATAATTTGTCTGTACATCGGTACCTCCTACACTGTGTTGTAGATATGAAGTCGTGATAATTTGTCTGTACGCTGGTACCTCCTACACTGTGTTGTAGACATGAAGTCTGTGATAATTTGTCTGAACATTGGTACCTCGTACACTGTGTTGTAGGTATGAAGTCGTGGTAATTTTTCTGTACATTGGTACCTCCTACATTGTGTTGGAACATGAAGTCTGTGATAATTTGTCTGAACATTGGTACCTCGTACACTGTGTTGTATACATGAAGTCTGTGATAATTTGTCTGTAAATCGGTACCTCCTACACTGTGTTGTTGACATGAAGTCCGTGATAAATTGTCTGTACATTGGTACCTCGTACACTGGGTTGTAGATATGAAGTCTGATAATTTGTCTGTACATCGGTACCTCCTCCACTGTGTTGTAGATATGAAGTCGTAGTAATTTGTCTGTACATTGGTACCTCGTCCACTGTGTTGTAGACATGAAGTCTGGGATAATTTGTCTGTACATCGGTACCTCGTACATTGTGTTGTAGACATGAAGTCTGTGATAATTTGTCTGTACGTTGTTTCCTCGTGGTAATTTGTCTGTACATCGGTGCCTCGTACACTGTGTTGTAGACATGAAGTTGTGGTAATTTGTCTGTACATCGGTACCTAGTACACTGTGTTGTAGATATGAAGTCTGTGATAATTTGACTGTACATCGGTACCTCCTACACTGAGTTGTAGACATGAAGTCCGTGATAATTTGTCTGTACACTGGTACCTCCTACACTGTGTTGTAGATATTCTGTACGCTGGTACCTCCTACACTGTGTTGTAGATATTCTGTACGCTGGTACCTCCTACACTGTGTTGTAGACGTGAAGTCTGTGATAATTTGTCTGTACGTTGTTTCCTCGTGGTAATTTGTCTGTACATCGGTGCCTCGTACACTGTGTTGTAGACATGAAGACTGTGATAATTTGTCTGTACATCGGTACCTCCTATACTGTGTTGTAGACATGAAGTCCGTGATAATTTGTCTGTACATTGGTACCTCGTCCACTGTGTTGTAGACATGAAGTCTGTGATAATTTGTCTGTACGTTGTTTCCTCGTGGTAATTTGTCTGTACATCGGTGCCTCGTACACTGTGTTGTAGACATGAAGCCTGTGATAATTTGTCTGTACATCGGTGCCTCCTACACTGTGTTGAAGACATGAAGCCTGTGATAATTTGTCTGTACATCGGTACCTTGTACACTGTGTTGTAGATATGAAGTCTGGGATAATTTGTCTGTACATTGGTACCTCGAACACTGTGTTGTAGATATGAAGTCTGTGATAATTTGACTGTACATCGGTACCTCCTACACTGAGTTGTAGACATGAAGTCCGTGATAATTTGTCTGTACACTGGTACCTCCTACACTGTGTTGTAGATATGAAGGCGGGATAATTTGTCTGTACGCTGGTACCTCCTACACTGTGTTGTAGATATTCTGTACGCTGGTACCTCCTACACTGTGTTGTAGACGTGAAGTCTGTGATAATTTGTCTGTAAATCGGTACCTCCTACACTGTGTTGTAGACGTGAAGTCTGTGATAATTTGTCTGTAAATCGGTACCTCCTACACTGTGTTGTAGATATGAAGGCGGGATAATTTGTCTGTACGCTGGTACCTCCTACACTGTGTTGTAGATATTCTGTACGCTGGTACCTCCTACACTGTGTTGTAGACATGAGGACATGGTAATTTGTCTGTACATTGGTACCTCCTTTGGTACCTCCTACACTGTGTTGTAGATATGAAGTTGTGGTAATTTGTCTGTACATCGGTACCTAGTACACTGTGTTGTAGATATGAAGTCTGGGATAATTTGTCTGTACATCGGTACCTTGTACACTGTGTTGTAGATATGAAGTCGGGGTAATTTGTCTGTACATCGGTACCTCCTCCACTGTGTTGTAGATATGAAGTCGTGATAATTTGTCTGTACGCTGGTACCTCCTACACTGTGTTGTAGACATGAAGTCGTGGTAATTTGTCTGTACATTGGTACCTCGAACACTGTGTTGTAGATATGAAGTCTGATAATTTGTCTGTACATTGGTACCTCCTACACTGTGTTGTGATATGAAGTCGTGGTAATTTGTCTGTACATTGGTACCTCCTACATTGTGTTGGAACATGAAGTCTGTGATAATTTGTCTGTACATTGGTACCTCCTACACTGTGTTGCAGATATGAAGTCGTGGTAATTTGTCTGTACATCGGTACCTCCTACACTGTGTTGTAGATATGAAGTCGTGGTAATTTGTCTGTACATTGGTACCTCCTAGACTGTGTTGTAGACATGAAGTCGGTGATAATTTGTCTGTACATTGGTACCTCCTACACTGTGTTGTAGGTATGAAGTCTGTGATAACTTGTCTGTACATCGGTACCTCGTACACTGTGTTGTAGACATGAAGTCGGTGATATTTTGTCTGTACATTGGTGCCTCCTAGACTGTGTTGTAGATATGAGGTCGTGGTAATTTGTCTGTACATTGGTACCTCCTACACTGTGTTGTAGATATGAAGTCGTGGTAATTTGTCTATACGTTGTTTCCTCCTACACTGTGTTGTAGATATGAAGTCTGTGATAATTTGTCTGTACGTTGTTTCCTCGTGGTAATTTGTCTGTACATCGGTACCTCCTACACTGTGTTGTAGGTATGAAGTCTGTGATAACTTGTCTGTACATCGGTACGTCCTACACTGTGTTGTAGAGATGAAGTCGTGGTAATTTGTATGTACATTGGTACCTCCTACACTGTGCTGTAGATATGAAGTCGTCGTAATTTGTCTATACGTTGTTTCCTCCGATAATTTGTCTGTACATTGGTCCCTCCTACACTGTGTTGTAGACATGAAGTCGGTGATAATTTGTCTGTACATTGGTATCTCGTACACTGTGTTGTAGCCATGAAGTCATGGTAATTTGTCTGTACATTGGTCCCTCCTACACTGTGTTGTAGACATGAAGTCGGTGATAATTTGTCTGTACGCTGTTTCCTCGTGGTAATTTGCCTGTACGTTGTTTCCTCGTGGTAATTTGTCTGTATATTGGTACCTCGTACACTGTGGTGTAGATATGAAGTCTGATAATTTGTCTGTACATTGGTATCTCGTACACTGTGTTGTAGGCATGAAGTCTGTGATAATGTGTCTGTACATTGGTACCTCCTAGACTGTGTTGTAGATATGAAGTCCGTGATAATTTGTCTGTACATCGGTGCCTCCTGCTCTGTGTTGTAGACATGAAGTCATGGTAATTTGTCTGTACGTTGTTTCCTCCTACACTGTGTTGTAGATAGGAAGTCTGTGATAATTTGTCTGTACATTGGTCCCTCCTACACTGTGTTGTAGGTATGAAGTCTGTGATAACTTGTCTGTACATCGGTACGTCCTACACTGTGTTGTAGGTATGAAGTCTGTGATAACTTGTCTGTACATCGGTAACTCGTACACTGTGTTGTAGCCATGAAGTCATGGTAATTTGTCTGTACGTTGTTTCCTCGTGGTAATTTGTCTGTACATTGGTACCTCCTACACTGTGTTGTAGATATGAAGTCGGAGGAGTTGACTCTACAGCTACTACAGAAGGTCCAAACTCACCAGCTATCTCACCTGGTACTTGATGACATCAGTGTTCACCCATCCTTCTTTCAGAAGTTTCTCCACACTCTTCATACAGACTTCAAGTATGGTTTCGTTTCAAACAAATTGCTGTATAAATGAATGAAGTAGTACATGACTGAAGTCTATACTTTATTGAGAAAAGATTTACATTTTAGTGTTGATGTACAATGTATGCAATACCCTTGAAAATTCTGGCTCACAATCTGTTACAGATCATTTGTCTACCTGAAAAAATGTAGATGCAGATTTTGTTTAACATAGTGATACAACTTTACATGTTTCATCTGCTTAATAGTATTTATTTCTTTTATGCAACTTGTATTGTCCTTTCTTTTGCAAAATAATTGATGTTTCTTTTCATACAACTGTTTTAGATATGGAGAAAATAGTCAAACACTTGAATTGTTAGATTTCCAAGCCTGTACCAAACCTATAGAAATCAGCCTACCATTGTCTCCGGGTGGTAAGTACTTCTGTAGATGAAATATTAGCCATATATTCCTTTTTGTGGATCTAGGTGACAAGGTCAAATATATCTCTTAAGATGGTGCAGTTTGAGAGATCTCTTGAGGTGGTTATTAAATATATCTCTTAAGATGGTGCAGTTTGAGAGATCTCTTCAGGTGGTTACTATTATCCCCTAGCAACGAAAGTTCGAGGGGATATAGGATTCCGCCCTTACGTATGTCATCCCGACTTCTTAGTCATCCCGACTTCATTTCTCAATGGAATTTCATGAAACTTCAAACAAGTGTTTAGTATGATAATACCTTGAACAAATTCGCGTTTCGGGTTACTGCGTTGAAGGTCAAGGTCACTGTTGCTATTTTTAGAAAAAACTTGAATTGCTGTATCGACTTCATTCCTCAACGGAATTTCGTGAATCTTGATACAAATGTTTGCCATGACAATACCTTCAACAGATGCAGTCGCTAGATCAGTTACTGTTACATCATTGAATTTTCTATTCATTTCCTGATTTCCTTTCATTGCAGTGTTACTGCAGGGTGTGAGGAAATTAGACCTGAGTATGAACACGCTGTCCGAGTCCGGGTTTGCAGCTCTGCTGAATCTTGTCAAGAATGATCTGGCACTGGTCCATTTAAAACTCAATGGGTGCTTTCTTCAGGAGGAACAAGTTCTTCAACTCTTGGAGGTTCTTGCAGGTAAAACGAACACCTTGTATATTATTTCTTCCAGTCATAAGGCATCTTCAAGAAAAAGTAATTTACTGATGACTTAAAGACTTGCCTGTAAACATGTATCATAGATTTTATATTAGAATAGTTAGCAAGACAAATCATGTGTTTTTCAGTCTAAAAATATGATAGGAAGGTTCATATCAGATTCTGTATTAATCACCTTTTAGAATTACCTTCAGCTTGGACAGATCTATGGTTTGGTTTGGTTTGTTATTTACCAGGTACGTCCTATATATACGAACAGCTATGGTAATTTAAGGACGTGCCAGGTTTTGGTGGTGAAGTAAAACCGGAGTACCCAGATCTATGGAAATTGTATTGATTACTTACTTACTTTTCCTCTTCGTCCCTGGTGGGACAAAGGACATCAACAAAATTCTATTGATTCTTTAAAAATATTTAAAAGAAAACATCACACTCCATTGATATATATGGAAAATTTAATGACATGAACCAATTACTTATTAGTCTAGACTTTAATGTCAAACTGTTATTTCAGAGAATACTCGACTGGAGGTGGTGAGTCTCAGTGGTAACCGGGTGGTAGAGGAGTCGGTGGAGCAGGCCCTGGTACTGTTCATAGAAAAATGTGTCTCCCTCAAAACACTCGTACTCAACTACAGCAGGCTCCGCAGCACCTTTGGTAAATATTATTGGTGTCAATGATCTTTCTTCATAAGTGTAAATATGTTTGATGTCTGGACTGGCTATATAATGAGAGGTTATCATAATATGATCATTTCCATATACTACTTCATATCACTCCTCGGGCGGATACGGAGTAGGATTATATTGAAATAGTCATATGGTAACTTTTTATAGGCCCGTCGAAGACGGGGACGTATTATGTTATCACGTGAGCGGTCGGGCGGGCGGTCGGGCGAGCGGGCAGGCATGCGAATTATGTCCGCTCGATATCTCGAGTAATTATTAACGCATTAACTTCAAACTTCACAACAAGGTTATTTACCATGAAAGCTCTGACAAGTTCGATAACCGCCATTATCCGACTGTAATTATTGGAGTTATTCCCCTTGGTTTCATTAATGCGATGCATGCGTTCCATGATGTTGTATTGCACTCATTGATCTACCAGTTATGTGGAATGATTTCTCTTTTAATATCAATTACTCACAAATACTTCATATATTTCAATCATACAAACAACTGCTCATTCAATGTGTGGCGGGCGTATTATATACCGCTCGCGGTAACCTTGTTTTTATCATTTACTGCTCTATAACTTCAAAACTATAAGTAATAACACATTAAACTGGCAAAAAGTTTATTTCATGAGCTTAACCCTTTCACCCCTATGTAACTTAAGTGAACTCATCAATGCTTTGATCTGGATGAGTCCATTATGGTCTACAGTGGTGAAAGGGTTAACTACAACCACATTCTAGTTACCTTAAATAAAATACCATCAACAGAATGGCATATACAGACAGACATGTGTTGTGTACACTACCAGTTTGAGGTGTGATTTTTCTAAAAAGTGTTCAACCAGAAGTTAAACGGCGCATGTCGGGCGGATATGGATTGGTCCGAATATGGCCTATGCACAACTAGCAGTATTACACATGCAACACAGCCCATATCATGGACAAGTTTATGTTAATGGTTTATAAATCACAGATAAGTTGTCATGTTTGTAAAACTAAGATATGAATTTGTGTGTACATATATCGTATGTAAATATATATTGTATGAACACCTAACTATCGCCTAGTTCATTGCTGACATTTATAACAATTGTCTATTTTTCTTTTCTATAACTAGTGAGTAGTGAAGCGTTCATACAGGCAGTGAGAGGCCATCCAAGTCTACAGGAGCTGTCAATCAAAAACAACCATCTAGGTATGTGTTGTCGAAAGATATGTTGTCAACTAGAAAAATAAAGATTTATTTATAGTTTTTGTTAGCTCACCTGGCACGAAGTGCCAAGTGAGCTTATGCCGTGGTGCGGCGTCCGTCGTCCGTCGTCCGGTGTCAATATTTTTCTTTAAACGACTTCTTCTTAATAACCGAAAGGCCTAGGGTGTCGATATTTGGTCAGAAGCAAAATGGGATGAAGGGCTACAAAGTTTGTTAAAATTAATGACCTTCACCCATTTTCAAGGTCACAGGGGTCAAATATGTTAAAACTTTAAACATCTTCTTCTCGATAACCAAAATGCCCAGGGATATGATATTTGGCCAGTAGCATGCTGAGATGAAGGGCTACAAAGTTTGTTCAAATGAATGACCTTCACCCATATTCAAGGTCACAGGGGTCAAATATGTTAAAAACTTTAAACAACTTCTTCTCAATAACCAAAATGCCCAGGGTGATGATATTTGGCCAGTAGCATGCTGAGATGAAGGGCTACAAAGTTTGTTCAAATGAATGACCTTCACCCATATTCAAGGTCACAGGGGTCAAATATGTTAAAAACTTTAAACAACTTCTTCTGAATAACCAAAATGCCCAGGGTGATGATATTTGGCCAGTAGCATGCTGAGATGAAGGGCTACAAAGTTTGTTCAAATGAATGACCTTCACCCATATTCAAGGTCACAGGGGTCAAATATGTTAAAAACTTTAAACAACTTCTTCTGAATAACCAAAATGCCCAGGGTGATGATATTTGGCCAGTAGCATGCTGAGATGAAGGGCTACAAAGTTTGTTCAAATGAATGACCTTCACCCATATTCAAGGTCACAGGGGTCAAATATGTTAAAAACTTTAAACAACTTCTTCTGAATAACCAAAATGCCCAGGGTGATGATATTTAGTCAGTAGCATACTAGGATCAAGGGCTACCAAGTTTGTTTAAATGTATGACCTTGAATCATATTCAAGGTCACAAGGAGCAAATATGTTCAAAATATTTAAACAACTTGTTCTGAATAACCAAAAGGCTCAGGATGTTGATATTTAGTCAGTAGCATGCTGGGATCAAGGACTACTATGTTTGTTAAAGTGAATGACTTTGACTTATATTCAAGGTCACAGGGGTCAAATTTGTTTAAAATCTTTAAACGACCTCTTCTGAATAACCATGGGTCCCAGGATGTTTATACTTTGCAAGTTGCATCCTGAGATGAAAGGCTATACAATTTGTTCAACATAATGACTTTGTTCGACTTTCAATCACAGGGGTGAAATGTTTTTAAAAAAAATAACAGGGTCTTTTAAATGAATTTTAATCATAAATACTGATATTTTGCCTGTAGCTTTATTTTAGATCACTTTTAAGGTTACAAGTGTGAGATTTATACCAGGTGAGCGATGCAGGCCCATTGGGCCTCTTGTTTATTTTACATTTATGAAGTAAGTTTTATCAAACTCTGTGGCCTGGTACAGAGGTTCATGTACCCCAGGAAGTGACTGGGGGATACCTGTAGTCAGATAACAAGAGGGATGCACATGGGGTACAAGTGGATTGAAGTAACCAGAGGGTCATAATGGAGAAGGAGACCAGAGTACACAGAACAGCCAAATAGTGTGACTGGTGTCCTGGTATCTTTTCACAGGCGATAGGGGAATCAGTTTCTGGTCGTCTATGGGAAAGTCGAGTCTGCTATCCACTTCACCACATTACCACCCTTTTTGTAATGGTCACTTTTGAAAAGCAACCATCTATGATCGAGATAAGTGTTGTGTAAGGAATTTCTAGAGAGACTAAGAGAATATTTCCCTACTGTGAGGGTATGATAGAGAAATTTCAACCCAATGGGTGATATTCTTGATTGTCTTAACCTGACGGTTTGCTTCAAGCTGAGGGTTAAAGATTCAAGAATGTAACCCGAGGGTTGATATTTCTTTTAACGTAGGGGATGATTCTTATTACCTCATCCTGTCAATGATGTATTTGAAACCATTTGCATTTGACCTCTCCTGTGGAAAGCTGATTGTAACATCATATTTGATTGTTCCCACGACGTTGTGGTATTGTTTCTTTTTCTTTGGGCAGAACAGGAGACAATTCAGCGTAAGGTGGGAGAGAATATTGTTGAACACAAAAAGCCAGGAAGTTTTGTGCAGGTTTCTATAAAGTAGGTTTTGTGATGGAGTACTGTATGTTGGTAAATGTTCGCCCTTCGACAGTAAAATCTATTTTCATCTACAGATAAAAAAAAATCCCTTTGCATTTAATTACTTCGCTTATTATGTTGTTAACAGATTTTTGCTGTAATGATAATTTCGTCCTCATTACGGAGGGCGAAAAAAGGCGAAAATTTAACTCCAAATTTCATGGTATAGAGTAGTGTTACCAGGGATGGGAACTTAAGACTCCCTACAAAACTAAAATAGAAACATTAGGTATAAGACACACCCAATGTCTTGTGACACAGTGGAATCCTTTGCTTGTGTTAGTGACTTTTAAATGTTTCAGTTTAGCATGTACTAAAAAAATATTATTTGACTACCATGTGATGAAGCGGAAAACTGGTTTGGGTATAGATTGTACTAATTAATCGTGTTTGTACTTTCAGAGTCTGGAGCACTAAACTTCCTGATAGCCATTACCTGCTCTCCTCAACGACCAGCTCTCCGCTCACTAAACATCGGGTAGGTGTAAAGACAGGGGTAAATGAGATCCAACGTCCGCTAGTGGATGTTCACTGAAGTGATACATCACCCATTATAATCCACATTGTTCCTTTTTTAGATATTTTAGATATATCACATCATGTTCAAAACACTTTGCCTTTTCTACTCTTGGCTTATACCGTGAAAATCTTATACCATCTTTTCTCAGACATTGCAACTATACTAGAACGTCATTGTACTATTTTACTATTGTGGACGTCACTATTTGTTGTTGTTTGTCCCTAGGCAGGACACCATTTTTCGTAACTTAGGTATATTTTGAAAATTGTACTTTGTTCTATTGACGGCCCACCTAGTGTTAACACAATTAAATTAGCCGAGACTCCCCATTTGATGTTGTCTTGTCATCTCTTCTTCTGAATTGGGTAGGTGTGTCAGTGTATGCAGAGTGAACTTATTTTGTGGTGATTTTGCTGTGTATCTGTCCCTAGAAACTACAGAATTAATTTCCTGATGATTCTTTAGATTTCTGCATATTCGTTTCACCCTTTTACAGGTACAACTGGATCAAAGGCCAAGATTTAATAGAAGCTGCCCAGCGAATACGCTCGTATCAGAGACGGCACTTCCCGGCTAACAGCGTCGTCCTGGACTTTCTGTCCCTCAGTGGTAACCGTCTCCTCCACAGCTTCCAGCAGCAGCTCCGACATGAGTACAGGGGTTTGGTGAAGGATCTGGAGGCCAATAGCATCGACTTCTCACGACCTTATGCAGAACATGTGGGTCAGATGTGAAAGGTCAGAGGTCCATAACTTGTAAAACCCGTCGGGCCTGACTAGTGCAAAAAATTTCGTTGTGGAGAAACTCTGTAACAATGCAAAGCCTCCATAGTGATGCATTACATCCTTGTCTGTAAGTAATACTGTATACCGGGAAACTGTCGCCGCAGTTTAACTTTCGCCCGTTTCGCCTTCCGATCTGAGGGCGAATTTAACATGACGGCGAAAGTTTAAAAAGAAATCATGTATACGACGTCACATGTTTTGTCACTATTTCGTCTACACTGAGGCTTAATTATTCAGATACCGTATGTGATGCAATAGGGGGTCCAGTGTGTTCCACTGTTGGCGATGTAGGGCGAATTTAACACTGGGCGAATAAGGACCAACGCTGTGACATTTCCCGGTATACAGTACTAGTAGCTGTGATTATGATATCCGCTAAATAACTACTTCCTAGACCTACTAGCGTTCATTTAGAAGGGTTTGTTCTCTCTATTTTTTTGCAGAAAAAGCAATTTGTGTAGTGGTGCGATTTGCAATATGACTGCAAATTGAAAGGTCTTCATAATACTTTGCATGGCTCACTTTGTTTTGTCCGTCTTATTAAAACACCAAATAGTTAAATTTTAAGTGTAAGGATTCTTTAGTTTGATACTCAGAAAGTCGTTGATGGACTGTCCTGTATGGCCAAACAGAGTCGGGTGTGTAATAGTGAAGTCATGTGATCTGATTTAATGTCATGGTATTATTTATAGTGTTCAATTTATATTTAGGATCCCGGAAAGGAGACAGCATTGTATGTGTGTGGACATTTTGTATTCTTGTATATGTGTTCAACCTGGATTGTGTTGCCTACCTTTTAAGTCATCATGCTAAATCTTTGCATTTATATATATCACATGAAATGTCAAATATTTGAAATATTATTTATTTCACTATAAAAATGTACTTATTTGTATATTATGCGAAAATAGTACAAGTACTTCTGTGCAAAACATTTGGTTAAAATAACAATGAAAATGTCGTTTGAACCTAGCTGCAGATACGATATGTAGTTTATTTGCCTGTGTAGGTATTTATTTTCGACTGAATCCCACTGATCCAAGAGTTTCTGATGTCAGAGAGACTGCAGCTATGGGAGTTGGAAGTTGCAAGACTAATGAGCTGTATAGGTACTGGCCAATAATAACGACATCCACAGCTAATTAATAACTATCATCAGGTGTTTACAAATCCGAGTCGTATTTTCTGGTAATATTTGATTTTAAAGAATCACATGACTTAACTGTTAGGATAAGATTTGGTAGTAGTTTTAGTTATAACCAAAACCTAAAATGTCCATCATAGCCGCAGAATGATAAAAACATCATATATCTATGTGAAACATATCCCCTGATTAACCTCTAAATAGGTGAAAGTACTAGGGAAGTACAAAATGTACCAAGAATCTTTTTTTGTCATGTCTTTTATATGCAAATATATATATCTCTGTTTTGCATCATTGATGTACCAGATGATCAGAAAAGACTCAATTTTTATGCTCGCAAGTGTTTCTTTTATTGGCATCAAGTAGTTCAGCTGTTAGTTTTATATATATATATATATATAATAAAAAGTGATTAAATGTCCATGTGAAGGAAGTAAATATAGAAAAAATAAAATTAACGACCGACTAAAAAACTAGCTGCTTTCACCCTTCACAGGGCTCTTCAGGTTTATTCAAAAGAGAACAACGTCGTGACGTCACAATTACATGTCATCACACTACAATAGTAACGTGACGTCACGAAGTACACAAGATTGGTGGACAATTTGGCGTAAAATTTTATTGTGGCCTGTTGAGACTCGGTTTTAATATTTTTATTAGTTGGTCTTCTTTCGTTTCTCTTAAAATAGTGTCTGATGAAAATAGTTGATACAAAGGTAATACATTAAATTTATCTCCAGCACATTCATGAATATGTTTGTTAACATGAAGATTTCGTAANAATAAAACAAAACACTAAACAAAAATTACTAGCCGATTATACTAGTCTTCGTGTTTGTTTTATTTATATTTTTACTGTCACATGGGCATTTAAAACTACTTATCGCTATATATTATAGCTATATATATATATATATGAAATAAATTTTACACTGTGTAATGGTTTTGTGTTACAATTTCTCTGTAACAAGTTGCTTAATTAATGTCAATTAAAAACTTTACTTAACACGGTCATATAATGGTATTAAGTTATATATATTATACCCTGTCCAAGGACACATTTTACTAAAAAAACAATCACCTTTTTAAATATTCATACTAAGTGTAGTAAGTTTTTGACACATTCTAGAGGAGCGAGCAAACTATGAAGTTTGTTTCACGTAGAATTACACATTCTACACTAGAGACCTCCATCTCCTTATATGTTAATTAGAATCGCTATCATGATGATTTTGCCCTCATCAAGGAACTACTGCAGCTATACAATAGGGTTATCAGTAAGGTTTAACAGCAATCCAAATTTGCAGCAGAAAAATAGGATTAGTATTAACACACCGTATTTTACTGGTGATTAACCCATGCCTGGTAATAAGCCCACCCCTAACATTTCCTTACTTTCTGTGCATAAGGTGGATGCCTGGTAATAAGCTCATCCAGCATTCTTCAAGGTTGCAGCGACGGTAAAAATATTTTTTATAACCCTCGCAACAAAGTTAGGAGAGGGGGGTATACTGGAATCACCGTTTGTTCGTCCGTCCGTCTGTCTGTCTGAAGACAAAAATTTGTACCTCCTACTCCTAGGTTTATGCATGGATTTTGATAAAACTTGAAACATATATTATACCTCAAATGAACTTGTGTCTTCGAGAACGCCTTTATGTTCCTTCAATAGTTACCAGAGTTATGGCCCTTGACTTCTGTTAACGATACATTACGTTACTGAAATGGCTAATTATCTCGAGAACGGTAGGTATTTTGTACACACATAGACTTTGGCATGTTGTAGGCATCAATGAAAACTGCTCTTCTGACAACCTTCTCAGGTCAAAGGTCACGAATGAATACCGTTACTGAAATGGCTAAATATCTCGGAAATGGTAGGTATTTTGTATACACAAATACCTTGAAATATTGTAGGGATTAATGACAGCTACGTATACTTCTATGACAAACTTCCGAGGCCTTTGGGTCGAAGTTCATGAATGAATTACGGTACTGAAATAGCTAATTATCTTGATACCTGTACATATTCTATATACACATTTACATTCGAGTATCGTAGCCAATTTTGCAGGCTAAATTGTGACAATTTTCCAAAGTCATGTAATGAGGTCAAAGGTCACAGATGCATTATATTACTGAAATGGCTAACTATTGCAGAAATGGTAGGTATCTCGTATACATATATCTTGGAATATAAGTAGCATTGATGCATGCTACATTGTGACAATATTCCGAGGTCATCGAGTTAAAAGTCAAAGTGTTTGTCTTTTCCATCAGTCTTTAGTTACGACATCTGAGGTTAGACTTTTTCATGACCCTTGATCTTTCTATATGTTTCTCCCCTTGTTTATTTAGCCCCTACAGGGGCAACAAACAGCCGGAATGCGGGGGTATTAGTTAGCCCAAAGGTGACAGTTCTAGTTTTGTATTGTTGTATGTCTTGCAATATATGTTAAGCTAATATGACGAATGTATCGGAACAATATCCAGTGTTAAAAGATTGTGACGGTACTATATTTACAAAACATCAAAAACCTTATGTTATTGGCAAGATAAAAAAACAAATGATACAAGTATTTGTTTTATTTCCAATTTATTTAGATGTAATCATATTTCAATAATATCTATCTCTCATAAATATATTAATCAATTATCATAACATCACAACTGCTAATAGGCAAAGTAGATCCTGAATGAAGATAGTAATTTTAAGGGGAGACCACCCTTAAAAGGCACAGCAGATCCTTGCATGAATGAAGAAAATAGGGACACCACAGGCACTGTCTGTACAAGGTACTTCTGGACGGTAAAAGATTTAAAACGGAGGACAGTACAACAAAGAAAAACAACACAACTGTATAAATTAAATCTCTGAAAAATAACAAGAAGTAGCAGTATAAAAATATATTCATGAAAAAACATAAAACTATAGGTTTGTTTCGTTTAGTTGACTGGTTACTGTACAGTGTTGGTAAACATCTATGTCCAATAAATGCCATACATTCCTTTAATTATAGGTACCCCAAATGAATTTGACTAGAAAAAAAAAGTTATTTGTTATTAATTCAAAATTCTATTATTTCAAAAAATTGAAAAAAAAATCAAAAAAATCAGACATCACGATTAATAGTCTTAATCAAATATATACGGTATATTCATTTGTCACTTCACATACAGATTTGTTCTCTTTAAAAAAAAATCTGCACTGTACAATGATGTAGAACTAATACTGATTTACAAAAATTAAATAAATTCCTTGATGATAAAAAGAACCTATAACACATCAGTTTGAACAATGTTTCTGACTGTTAATATTTTTTAATGACGATGTAATAGAAAAATATGACAAACGATGCAAAGTAAAACACTGTATTTAACATTGTGATTCTTATTTCAGAAATATTCTTTAATATTTTATATAAGTAATGACATGGACATTTTACTATTCTGATTATGTAACAAATGCAGAAACTATTGCTGAAAAGGTTTGCTTAAATGTCTCTGCATTAATATTATACATACACATTTTTTTAAAAATTAAATCGAAGTAAATCGCACTACACAGTCAAAAGAAAAAGTGAGGAACTGCTTCAAAACTAAGACTGTTTACACAGGTATAAAATCACAGTGATTATATATACAACACAACATAATCTGATGACTGAGAACAAAGATTGTAAAAATACCATTTATATAAATATCATAACAGATCAAAATGTAGTATATTCTTGACCAACTTACAACTATGTACAGTGTATCACAGGAGCTTTCTATATTACATCATGTTATACAGTATGAGACATAAACACAAGCAGAATCAAGGAAGATAGAAAAGTTTCTCTTTTCTTAAATACAAGGCTCGAGAGAAAATCAAACAATCAATCAGTGTACCATCAGTGTACAACATACCATCATACTAACCCTTTCACCACCGTACACTGTAGTTAATGGACTTGTCCAGATAAATGCATGGTAGAGTTTATCAGAGTTACTTAGGAGTGAAAGCTTTAAACACCATTATACCCACATATCATCCCTTTCCCCACCGTAGACCGTAATGGACTTATCCAGATCAATGAATGGTAGAGTTTACTAAAGTTTCATAGGGGTGAAAGGGTTAAATACCATGAGTACACTTATCCACTGGTAGCTTATATACCACCATACATTCCTCACAAATTCTGTAGCTCACTGAAGAAACCTTCAACCATTTTGAAAAGCAGATTTTCTCAAGTTTAAATTACTTATGTAATCCCAGTTAATTTCTTGCCTGCTATATTACTACTTATTACTTTTTTCATTAGAAACTTTTTTCTTTTCTTTTAATTAAGTATTAATTTACTTTAGGAATCAAAAATAACATTTCATTTTTTCTTTCTTCAATTTGAATGTTAATAAAAAAATTTAAAAAAGGTTGGCACTTTTTAAATTTCCTCTTTTTCCAATCTGTATCATGACAATATAAATTCTTCCTGTACATTTACATTTTAATCAAATATTGTACCTTCAACTTTTTCATTTCACCTAATTTAATGGTTTTAATAAGTATAAAGTTGAATAAGATCATCAAAACCTTCAATAGTGTATCAGCAGATTCATCCACAAGTAACAGATAAATCTAACAGAACTTTACAAAAATGATTTTAGAGAAACTGAGAATCCCTTCTGTTCATATTTACTACTTTGCGTGAAAAATTCTTGTGTCTGTGTTGCTACTTCTTTAAATTACCAACTTGTTAATTTGAGGATTCTGTCAATCACAAACATTATACAAATGGCAGCCCCAGATTTCAATAGTTTGATATTAAAAAGTGAGGGCCACATAAAAAATCAACTTCAAAAGACAAACACTTGATAACAATAATATACATCATATCTAAGATAAGGGCACTGCTTAAGGCAATCCAAAGTTTGCTTATATTTGATAAAACAGACTAAGTACTATATGCCTGTAGTCTTCTTGAGTAAATATAAGCACCATTGTAACATTCAACAGGTTAGAAAGTTCCTACAGCAGAAACACTGCTAACTTAACTAATTAGGTTTGTCTCTGAACAAATACATATTTAAATACGACTCCCAGAGAATATTTTAAATGAAGGAACAGTACATACTACATCTACTGTAAAATAAATACACTGAATCCCTAGGGATCTGGATGAGTTCACAGTAATACCACTCTGCTGACTTAGAGGAGCAAAGAGCTTTTCTATTCTTTCTTGAAATAATTTATAAACCTATCTAAGACTTAATATTCCTTTAAGTGAAACAAAAATTACCCACATTCATAATCATTATTTCTCAAACCATCTTCCTTAACCAAACATCCAGGATTCTATGTCTACCAACAGAACAATCCTAATCTTCTGAGTGGACATCAGGTTGATCTTCCTGCTGTATTAGAAGCTCCTGGTTCCTTCCTCCTCACCATGCCCTCCATTATGAGTATTCATACATAATTTGAAATTTGGTTACAGTTTTGTCTTCTTGAATATTCATCAATCCAGTGGTAGAATGTTAAATATTCATTAGTTTCTGCAGAATGATGAATATACATATAATTTTAATCAGTTAATTTCCACATGCTGGATGCTCAGTAGAAGTAATGTTAGTTCGATCACAGCCAAAACTGAGCGTACACATGGAAACTTGTTTTAGGAGCGAGGAGAGACGGCTGTCTGGTTTAAGTACGGATCAGATGCAGAGATGGATGGTTGGTAATGTGAGTGCCGCGTCAATGTACGATTGATCTTTTTCTGTATAAGTTCTGCCCTCATGGCTCTCAGCTCTGTCTCGGCCTGGTTGCGTAGCTAGATGAAACAATAGTAAAGTTACATAGACATGAAATACAGACAAGCTCATCAAGTGCCAAGGGTGATATGGTGCAGTTACATTCACTGTGCAGACGGTGCAGATGCTGGCCCCGATTTGACAAGAGTACAAGGTCAGGTCTTCAGATGAACCAATCAACTTCTGGTAAATGTGCTACACACACAAGTAACATCCTCGAAATTCTAGGGGTTACCCTCACCTAGCTTCTTTGCACACCTGGAATATGTCATGACAAAATTGAAAGCACAAACTTAGCTTTTTGATTGGGTTTCAGGAAAAAAATACCTTACCAATTCTCTAGGCTGGTACCTGTCCTATAAAGGTACTTGAGGATCGACACCCAACTTCGAAGCCAGTCAATTGTACTGTTATACTGCTGCGAGATTCTGTTGATGTACCTGTATCGTCCACACAAGGTACAGAGCCTTCCATTTTGTCATGACATTTTTCAGGGGTGCAAAGAATGCAAGAAAGTTTAACTCTCTGAAACTTTGAGGATCACTGAACAAACACAGAAGTAAAGAACTCAAAAAGTTCTCAAATTTTGTATGTAAGAAATGATTTAAAATTTTGTGTGTAATTTCTGTTGGATTCACCAGTTACGCAGCGGGTTTCCAGGCAATAGATCAGATCGTGTTTTAAGCTTCACACCAAGTGTAATTCTGTATTACTCTCTGGTGGTTAACAGAAAAGAAACTTGTTGAGTTTTATGAAGCATAGAGGGAAACTAGGAGAGCAGAATGTTGCCACAAACTGTTGCCGTCAAGGAAGTGAGTTATCGCACTTTGTAGATCTAATTTTCATTTTTCTATTTTCATCTTCATTTGGAAGAAATTAATTAGCTCTCAAGTTGATCTTTAAGGGCCAGTAACACATTAAGGTCACTAGTTTGACATCTGAAAGCAGTTTCTTTGTATATTTTTCAAACTCTTACACTTTTTATAATTTTTCTAAAAATCAACATATTCCTGATAATTTCAGTATCATATGATATATCATTATGCAAAATGTAATACAATACTTTAGTTGTAGTACAGTATTCATTGAAATGCTCTTTTTTTGAGGATTAGAATAATTGTGAAATACACATTATCCCTTTCACCACTGTAGACCGCAATGGACTCATCCAGATAAATGTATGGTCGAGTCCACTAAAGTTACCTAGTGGTGAAAGAGTTACAGATTTCTCTTTTCTCTGAAGATTGTTTCATGAACTTTCACAAGATATTTTAATGAACATGTATAAAACTTGTGTCCCGGGAATGTTAAGCGATTTATGCTCTTGTATTGTGGAGTTTTCCCCTCCAAACTGAACAGCGCAAACCAAAGTATGTCAACCTGACTGGGTCTCTGATAAAAATGTCTGTATCACTGTGGTTACCTCTGCAGACTTAATCTGTCTCTATGCACTAATTCATTCCAAACATTGCAAATCTGCAGATTTTTCCATGCAAAAAAAAAGAGAGAAAAAGAAAGAATACTATAAATCTGTCTAAGGACTACATTCAGTGTGAGTGAGTTATGAGTTAAATATGTAAATATATCAGACACAGAGCGTAAAATACTGTCAGGCTTGACTGTTCAGTCCGGACTAAAGGGAACCACCACAACACATCTACTGGCCTAGCAGGCACCCCCACACGGTAAACACACACGGTAAACACACACAGTAAGTACACACAGAACAGGCACCGCTACCACACCCTCTAAACTACATCAGGTGGTCACCGCCACCTCAATGTTACGTCACACAGTTGTTAGTACACACAACACCGGCACACAACATCAAATAGGAAAGCTACTTAATGAAGCAACGATTTATTTATAAATCACGAGTATATAACTTATCATCATCACGATTATATAACTTATCATCATCACGAGTTTAAAACTTTATCATCTGTCTACTCAAACTGTTTTTTGGTTTATATTTTAAAAAAGAACATTCGGATTCCTGTGTTAATGTTAATGAATTCTTCTTGTAAGTTTTATTAAAAGATAAACTGAGAAAGCAGGAAAATGACTTTCACAATATCGGTCTTGGTTCACAATCAGAAAAAAATAGTTTATAAAAAGAAACTTTCTGGTGATATAATAGTCTTTCTCTTATAATTAAAAATAATAAAATAAACTTTCTGCTAGCTTGTTTTAATTTGATTGATTAGGTTGTTGAAACATTGACAAATAGCTTTATCATTTCAAAGAACTTGGTGGTGAACACTTGCCATTGATAAAACTTATTTTATATATATATATATATATATAGAAAAAATAAAATTAACAGTCGGTCGTTAATTTTATTTTTTCTATATTTACTTCCTTCACATGGACATTTAAGCACTTTTTATTATATATATATATATATTTTTGATAAATTCTGGATTTAAAACCCTCCTATTTTTTTTCTTTATTTTAATATAAAATTTTCTAATGAGAAACTGTTCAACTATGTCTAAAAGTATTCTTAATAGTGTTTTTACAACATTAAACTGTAAGTTTATTAAAATAGTTAAAGCAAATCTATGGAATGTACTTATTTAATTTAAGAAAAAAAAGTAAGATGTAGATAAATACATTGATATTAAACTTTGATAAACATCTGTCTAAATATCTTAGTCTTTAAAACCTCGAAGGTCAGAATGAAAAATCAGGCATCTCCCTTCAGATCAGCGAGACTCGTATATACTGTATAATCAAATTTCTATCAACAACCGATTCAAAATTGCTAGCACATTAAGAGAACAAACCTTACTAAATCTACCTGTGCTTATCTATATCACAAGAATTGTTTTTTTTTTTTTTTTCCTATTGAGTAAAAGGCCATTAAAATCAATTTCTTTTTTCTTTTAAAGTAATGTGAGTGTGATCATATTTAGTTTAGAAAAAATCTTTAAAACCTAAGAAGCAATTCAGATTAACTTCACACTTAGACTTGAGATTTTTTATTATTTTTAATATTAAACGTTTTTTTTTCTCCAATTAAACCAACAATATTTTTTTTCAATTCAAAACAACAATAAAAAGTTTTATTAAGACATTTAGGCTCTAGCTAAGTCATCTCAAACAAAGTATATATGTGTGTGGAAGATATTGCTTCTAATTTACGATACAAAACTACTGTATAGCCTCTGTGTGCCCCAAAACTACTGTAGCCTCTGGGTGCCTCAAAACTACTGTAGACTCTGTGTGCCCCAAAACTACTGTATCCTCTGTGTGCCGCAAAACTACTGTAGCCTCGGTGTGGCTCAAAACTACTGTAGCCTCTGTGTGCTTCAAAACTACTGTAGCCTCTGTGTGCTTCAAAACTACTGTAGCTTCTGTGTGCCCCAAAACTACTATAGCCGCTGTGTGCCCCAAAACTACTGTAGCCTATGTGTGCCTCAAAACTACTGTAGCCTCTGCGTGCCCCAAAACTACTGTAGCCTCTGTGTGCCTCAAATCTACTGTAGCTTCTGTGTGCCCCAAAACTACTGTAGCCTCTGTGTGCCCCAAAACTACTGTATAGCCTCTGTGTGCCCCAAAACTACTGTATCCTCTGTGTGCCTCAAAACTACTGTAGCCTCTGTGTGCCCCAAAACTACTGTATCCTCTGTGTGTCCCAAAACTACTGTGGCCTCTGTGTGCCCCAAAATTACTGTAGCCTCTGTGTGCCCGAAAACTACTGTAGCCTCTGAGTGCCCCAAAACTACTCTAGCCCCTGTGTGCCCCGAAAATACTGTAGCTTCTGTGTGCCGCAAAACTACTGTAGCATCTGGGTGCCCCAAAACTACTCTAGCCTCTGTGTGTCCCGAAACTACTGTAGCTTCTGTGTACCCCAAAACTACTCTAGCCTTTGTGTGCCCAAAAACTACTGTAGCTTCTGTATGCCCCAAAACTACTATAGACTCTGTGTGCCCCAAAACTACTGTAGCCTCTGTGTGCCCCAAAACTACTCTAGCCTCGGTGTGTCCCAAAACTACTGTATCCTCTGTGTGCCCCAAAACTACTATAGCCTCTGTGTGCCCCAAAACTACTGTAGCCTCTGTGTGCCCAAAAACTACTGTAGCTTCTGTGTGCCCCAAAACTACTGTAGCTGCTGTGTGCCCCAAAACTACTGTAGCCTCTATGTGCCCTGTCTCTAGCAGTCAACACTAACAATACTGCACTGTCATTGATACACCGATAAACCATGAACCTTAATATAACACTGGTCGGGAATCCCTGAAGAGGTCAGTTGAAGAAAATTGTGGCCTAAATTTACTTAAAAGCAAGAATGGTTCTTTCAGCATTTATATATCCCTAATAAAAGATCATAATATCTAACGAGTTTGGGTAAAAAATATATTTAGCAAAAATCCTTGATGTGTTAATTTTTTTTTTATACCAGTAAAGAGTATTTGTATAATTTAGTGTCTTTGTTTGAGACGACCTATGCAAATTAGATTATATTCAAACACTTTTTGGTTAATTCTCAGCACAGATTTATGTTCAAGCCACAATGAGTTTAAGAATTTATTTCTCACCATTTACTAATAATCAAGGAGCCAATATATGTATTCTCCAACCTTAAAAATACATGCGTTATGAATGTAAGTTTAAAGCAGCGGTTTTGGAACGTTAAAAGTCACAAAAGATAAAAATGTTACAAAAAATGTAATCTGAAGTGTCAATCCTGCATGTATGATTTTATAACAAGAGGCTTGTTTTTATTAGTCTGGTGAATGGTTAACTACAATTCAGTACTGATGGTTCTACCAACATGTAAGATTCCATACCATTCAAAGTACATGTACAAGTTGTTTAACATAAGGCAAATATTTCGTCGCACCATATTTTAAATTTCTATACAATAGTTACGAAATGTACAATAGGTATGAAACCATACATGTCAGTGGTACTGTATAGTACTTCAATACGAATCACATAACAATAGACTACCGTATAGCGGGTTATTTACGCGTGCTTACATTTTCACGATTTTGACCAAGAATTAAAACTTATTGAATTTTACAAGGATTATCATTTCGCAATCTAGACATTTTTCGTGCTGTTTTAGCACAGAGACGGGACACTCGGCATATAAAGTGTCAAATACTCAAATGAATAGGCTTTAGTACAGCATATTGAGCAACAACGAGTAAGTGTATTTTGTTAAACAAATCAACAACAAAACTATTAGCTATTTTCACACATTTTTACTCTTTACATATGTGAATCATCATAATCATGTGTGCGCTATTTCTTGACGACATTACGATTTTAAAATTTATCATCGCGGCTAATTTTTATGCTTGTCTCATTGTTCTGTGGATAATTTTTTGCCCAATCACATTATTGGCCTGCAAAATCGTGAAAATCTCTTCTCCGTAGAAATATCCAGCTATACGGTATATTTTAGTATCTCGGATGCAGAGCAGAATATTAATAAAGTCTTTCTACTCTAAAATCTCATCTCCCTGTACAAGTGTTGAGATTTGAGTGAAGAAAGGAGGTTAGTGATTAGGGTGCCTATATATAGGTGAGCATGCCTACATTATAGCCTACAGATGTTTGTAACAAGGTTTGTGATTGGCTAGATTGAAGGAAAGTGCTTTTAAGATACAGATATAACTGGTGAAGGTGCTAGGATTTGATTGACCTCAGTCAGGCGACATACCTTCATTTCAGCCGTTAGTTTCATCTTGGCGTTTTCAAGGCGACGACGAATGTCCTCTATCTCATGCATTAGCCGCGCTGCCTGTATCTTATAATTACTCTGTAGGTTACAAAGAACAAGGTATGAAGCAAATGTAGACAATTTATTTAATTTATTTATATATAGATCAACAATGATGATGACAACAATCGAATTCGACATCTGAATTGCTTTAATTATGCATAACATGTAATATATATATCATACATGTATAAATATTTGGCAACATTTTTAGCAAGTTCTCCATTACATGTTACTATATTAAATAAATATTTGGCAACATTTTTAACCAAGTTCTATCACAGACTGTTCGCTTTGTTTCTTTGTCATCATGCTTAAATTAAACGGTATACAAACACAAATCAACAACGCATAATACCATACTATTAACCACAAACTATGCTTCTTTTCCTCTTTGGTTTGATATAATCATTACATATATTTACTGAAATCAAACGGTAAAAAAGTCAAATTGACTTTAACAGTAATAATACATATCATAAAAGAAGATACAATAATCGACAAAAACATCTCACAATACACTCATTGTAACTCCGACTTGTAGAAGTCACAGCTGTCAAAATAAAAACATGAGTTCATCCATTTGAGAACATCATTATTTAGTCAAATTAGTCATTCTTTATTGTCTGTGTGATGTTCTCTGCTATAATGTCAGAATTACTGTGATTCACAGATGAAACAAAAGTATGTGTATATGTTCCACTACTGTTTTGATGGAAATGGAGCTAAACACAAATCTAATCAAACTCAGTGAAGTGGAAAATCTAGGTCACGGTGACCTACCAGGTACATTTCATACAATTATGTAGCACTCCTTAAAACGCGTCCGTATACGAAGTTTGATGACCGTTTAGCTTCTAGAATGGAATCAGAACCAAACGCAAAGTCTAACCACAACTTTGTACGGACAGACGAGCAGACGAAAAGGGCAAACACAGTGATACTGCGCTACGGGGGCATAAAAAAGGATTTAAAGCAGTAAAATATTACAGTCGTCTTGTCCATGTATATATTAGGTCGTATACAGTCTTAACTAGTCTCTGCACTCCTGGAATATACCATGACAAAATTAAAGACTCAGTGCGCCACCTTGTGGATAATACAAGAAGCCTAGTTTGATCCTTTAATGTATATCAAAAGAATCATGCAGCAGCCTCAGGGTTTAACTGAAAGGCTTTGAAGTCAGTTGTTGCTCCTCTGTAATATTCAAAGGACTAGTATCAACCTAGCAACGGGTCATTTTATTTTTACCTCAGACCAATCAAATGGCTAGTCATACCCCTTCAATTTTGCCATGACATATTCTGGAATGCAGAGAGCGCATGTGAGTGTAACCCCTGGAGTACTGAGGATGAAATTTTTGGAAAAAGGCAGCGTCTAATGAGCAAAACAAGCTCCGAAAAGAATCAAAGCTTTTCTAACCGATGCTAATTTTCTATCCCCAACTCCCATAAAACTCCCAACCCAAAAACAGTAACATTAATTTTGACGAAACACCAAAAATCCTAAACAGACTGATATACAATGAATTCATAAATAAGGTTGTAATTAAATGTTACTGTATTAAAATAGCTTGGGACACCTACAAACTTTACAATTTTAGATGTAATACACACGTTCGACAAACTGAACACTTTTGTCCGAGGACCTACTAGAATGTCCCGTAGTGGCCAGGGCACTCCTTTTACGACCACTGGGAGACACATAGGCATTGCCATCGTACCGATACAGAATACGCTTAGGGGATCCCAGAGGGGTCACAAAGGACGACTCTTTAGGGGTAGACTGGACACTAGACATGGAGTTAGAAGGTGTATACAAAGCAGACTTGGGGTTGACATAGTAAGGGGTTGCATTTGACTTGTTATTATTAAAAATCTGCTGAGTAGGAGCCTGATAACGCCGCGTCCCATATTGAGATGCATAGCTGGGCGATGGCTTCTTAACCGTACGTGGAGTTGAGTCCTTACGATAAGTGTAGAGACTCATTGGCGGATGAAATTCTGAATCTAGCTGTCTAGAAATTCTCGGCAAGTAGGTCGGTGATGGCCTCACTTCATATTGTTCATAAGGATCAAATGGGGCTCTGTATTGACCAACCTGTAACGAGGGTTTGAGATCACCAACACGTTGCGTTGCCTTGTCCTTCGCGGGGCCCTCCAGTGTGTTCATTAGTTTCCGATGGATAATCTCAAGCTCATGTCGTAGGCGGTTACATTGCTCTTCTAGTGGCGACGTCCGCTTTTTCTCCTCAAAATATCGCTTCTTCCACAGATCACGAGCTAAAACCACAACAAGTGCATGGTTAAATGTTTTTACTGTAAAATTTTCTTATAATGCACATATATCCCAAATAGATCACCATCATTTCATTCATTCATAAAAAATATATAGATAACAAATTACATTCATTTATGGTTATATCAAAAGAAGAATATTGATGGGTGCTCTAACATGTGAAATTAGCACCTGGGGCTCACGTGCCATATTGATAGAACCCTTTGACATCACCAAATAGCTTTGTGCAGTTTTTGTAACTGCTAGTACCCCAAAAAGATCACCGCTTAAATTTTGCAATAACTTACACTTCAATCAAACAAAACTTTACCAGCACTGCAACATGTTATAAGACCTTTGGAATTATGAATATAAGTATTTCTATGGTCTGAGTTTATTCCTATTGTCTGAAACAGAAGGTATAGTTTTCGCACATGCCAATTTTTAACAACGTAAACAAATAACTTAATTCAGATAGAGAAAATCGTCTTCTGATGTTATTTGAACACATACATTAATCATCTTTTATATAATAAACTCATTCCCCCCTGAAGACAAATTTGAACTCTTGCAATTCAAAGGTTGGAATAGCTTATTATGAAATTTCAGGGGTGAATGAGTTAAGATTACACCATTATAAAACAACTGTTGCCACATTCGAGGATTTAAAAGCAATCCTGTCAAAAGTGATCAATTTGGGGTACTGATACGATTCGGGTCTTTCCTCCCTCAAAAAAAGCAAAGTCCAATTATTTACCAAAGTCAGTGAAGCAGAAAATATAGGTCACAGTGACCTATATTTGAAATAAGGGTGAATTACTCCCCATGATGTATCTACATGTGTAGCTTGATGACAGTTGAACTTGTAGTATTAGACCAATGAAGCTTAAACTATCCCAAACCAAGATATGTCATACAGACATTCCGATGGAAAAGGCAATCACGTGTTGTCACCTTCACTCATGTTGCTGGAGCATACTGTTATTGATATGTGTTATCTGCTTTGACCAATTTAAGTCAAATCAAATGTCCCAGGGCATTTTCAATGTTACCGCTTACAAGCTTAGACACTATATGGAATCATACAAGGAAATACATAGTGATACGGTGACGGAACAGAATAGAATAAAATTAAGTCAACGGGATAGTCTAATGTACATGTATAACACCAGGCTGATTTAAACAAGAGGCCCAAGAGGGCCTGTATCGATCACCTGAATATTTAAGCAGTCATAGCAAAATATTCTCATTAAATATTATATTGCACTAAAAATATTTCCCTCACAAACTTTGTTGGCCCCATCTGTTGAAATTACCAGCAAAATATTATTACAAGATTCTATGCTTTTTGATTCTTCAGAAGTTGCTTGACATATTTTTCCCTGTGACCTTGTAAGTAGGTCAATGTCATTTTCCTTCTCAAATTGGTAAGCTCTATTCCAAAAGCTACCAGCCAAATCTTATGAATCCATTCCTTTTAGTTCTTAAGAACAAATCCATTAAAATGTTGTTGACCTCTGTGACCTTGAAAGTAGGTCAAGGTCACTTTCATTC